GATGAAAGCCTGTTTTTGCAACTATGACTTAGGACTGTTCAACACATCTTAAAGTAGACGACACCCAATTTTAAAGCTAATAGACTGGATTACAACATAAAAACTATAAAATTCATAGATCTTCCTAATACAATTCTGTATATAAATTATCTGTATTCAAGATCTAATGATGATTGCCACACCTCTGCCAATGTAAGAGCGATCAGTGATGTGAAGTTCTACCACAGTAGTCTCTAGGACAAAAGAGAGCTAGCTCTTGAAGTCCACAGTAAGGAGTACATTAGGTTGGTTAAATTAAAACAGCTGCCTAAGGACTCTTATGTCATTTGACGATTCCTGAGCTACAGGGAAGCCCCCAAATCCAGTGTATATTTTTTTCAAAAAGACAGAGTAGTAATGCTGTACTGCTCTCTGTTTCACACAAGTATCTGGTTCGGGGCTTGTCAGCAACACAGACAAAATGACAAACAAGGGAAGCTGTTTTAACAGTCATGATAGAATTTGGTCAGCCTACAGGTTCTCAGCTATATGGGACTGCCACCCTCTCTACCTTTGGTTCTTCAAACTCAGTAAGCACTGTATAAACCAGTTCCCCAAAATTAGCAGCCCAGGTTAGGGAAAGTGTTGCCACTCCCTGTTGCCAACATGCTCTCCATTCCCCACTCTCCTCGTGGTCAGCAACTGTATAGGCAAAGTACACAAGAAAGTAATAACCACTTCATGGTCATTGACCCCACCTAGGGGTGCTGATTGACAGCCAGCTGAATATGAGCCAGCAGTGTGCTCAGGTGGCCAAGAGAGCCAATGGCATCCTGGCTTGTATCAGGAACAGTGTGGCCAGCAGCACCAGGGAAGTGATCGTCCCCCTGTACTCAGCACTGGTGAGGCTGCACCTCAAATACTGTGTTCATTTTTGCGCCCCACAATACAAAAAAGAAAGTGATGGAGCAGAGCATGTCAAGAGCAGCAAAACAGATCTGGTGAAGGGTCTAGAGCACAAGTCTTATGAGGAGCAGCTGAGGGAGCTGGGGTTGTTTAGCCTGGAGAAAAGAGACTGAGGGGAGACCTTATCACTCTCTACAACGACCTGAAAGGAGGTTGTAGTGAGGTGAGGGTCTGTCTCTTCTCCCAGGCAACAAGCAATAGGACTAGAGGAAACAGCCTCAAGTTGAGGCAGGGGAGATTTCTGTTGGATATTAGGAAAAAATTCTTCACTAAAAGGGTAGTCAGGCATTGGAACAGGCTGTCTAGGGAAGCGGTTGAGTTCCCATCCCTGGAGGTATTTAAAAGACAGGTAGATGTGGTGCTTAGAGACATGGTTTAGTGGTGGACTTGGCAGTGCTAGTTTAATGGTTGGACTTGATGATCTTAAAGGTCTTTTCCAACCTAAACCTAATTCTATGATTCTTTCACCTTACATAAATCTATAGCTAAAGCTGTCTCTCTTACTGCTGTCAGCTATTGTGGCAACAAGGATGTTTTAGAGCACTGGCATAAAGCAGCAGTAAACTGAAGAAGACCACAGAACATCAGACATCTGATAACAATGAAGACTAGTTTACCAGTCCCTCAGTACCAAACTCCCTTGACTGCAGGCAAAATTGTATTACTTCTGGTGTTCACACCATTCTCAAGTTGCAGGTAAGTAGGGCCACAGAGACCAACTTTCTGAAGAATAGTCTGGTATTAGCCTGGTATAGGATGGAAATTGACAGAGCAAAATGTTTACCAGTGATCATTTCTTCATTTCTTAAACAAAAGGACTTAGCCCCTGCCTCTGCAACATCCTCCCTGGAAGAGAAATGGGAGAATTTGGGACAGTTTTGATAGTACAACAAAATAATCAGGAACACATCCCATGGCCCAGAGATTCGTCAGATGGTGGTAAGCATCTTGACAGAGCTGATCTCAGATAACAGATTGCTCTGTCACTTGCCATTTCTTCTGGCGATAAATATAACTCCACAAACAAAGCCTCCTGCCCAAAAAAGGGGCTATAAAGAGGGGGCAGAAAAGGATTAAAAGACATGAAAGTTAATTCTAAGTAGCTTTTTGCAGCACATAAATATCCTTAACAAAGAGTTTTTTCAACTACCTTGGGAAAAAAAAAAATATTCTTTTATGTTCGTCTTGTATAAAACCAGGAAATACAGGTAGAATATGGCATTTAATCATTCCACTATGATGACTGGACATTTCCTTTCTGAGCACAGCTGCAGTTACAGACTATATTAATTCTAGATCGATATCAAAGGATCAATACAGTCTTTAAATCTAAGTACATCAATACTTTTGACATAAAAAAGTAATGCAATATCACCTTTCTGACCCAATAAAGTTGAGTGCATGTAGAATTTGTTAAAATAAATCTATGGAAGACACTAAAACCAAATCACTTGAGACAATTGCTCTAAATAATTACCTTACTGTAAGGTGCACATTGGTTTTCTCCCCACCTAAAAATTCAATCTGCAGCAGAGGATTTATTCTTTATGCAGCACTCATGGTTTAGTTTTCCAATTAGTCTTTCCTTCTGCTATTCCACAAGAGAGATACTATCTTTTACTGCTCTCAGTGCCCTCTCTCTACAGGCCAGCACATGTCAGCTGAGTTCAAATACAGTCTCTCTTTTTACTCCAGAGCATGTTTGAAAAACCATCTTCACATTTTTAATCTATATCATTCAAACTTTCATGGAAGTCCCCCACAAATTGATTTTCTGGATCATGCTAAGCCATATGCCCACTTCAGATTCCCACTCAAAGCTTTCTTGCTGAGATCACCACATGTACTTGTTCAAAAATGGTTCCTTGTTCTAGCTTTCCCTTCCTTTTCTGTATTAAATACATGATAAGCCTTACCTTTAAGGCATTTCACAACTTAGTTGCATTTTGTTTTTCTCTTTTTGTGCAAGGAATTTCTAACCCAAATACCCAGCAGAGCATGATACTCAAGTCCTACTACAAGCCTCCTATCTAATCAAATACCTCTGGCAACCACTAAGTAGCAGCAAGTGTTAATTTATTTATATTTTGCAGTAAAAACAAATGCCATTTTTATTAATAATCAAAGGGCTGACTGACTATAATCCTTCCATCTGCACAATATACCTTATAAAGGCCTGTTGTGGTTCTCAGTCAATATCATC